CACATTTGAATTTTAATAATTATTAAAGTATTAAATATATTTAATAAGTGAATTATGAAGTTTGGTATGACAAAATTAAAACTTCGAGTACAGGCCTAACTTAATATAAGAATTAATAGAAAAGTCCTTGGTGACTTAATGATTACTTATTTTGTTGCAAGGATATTTTTATATAAGTTAAGGTGTATGGTTTCACTTTTATATAGGAAAACATAAAAATTAATAAATATAAACTTATATTATAAAAAATTAAGTAAAAAATATTTTAAAGTTATATTATTTTAATAAAATATTATATAAATGTTAACATAATTTTTATTTTTATTTTAATAATTAAGATATTTTAGTTTTTTAATAATAATTTATTAAAATAATATAATTTTGAGATTTTTTTGTTTAATTTTTTACCATATAAGTTGAAATCCACTTTTTTAATGAAAATATATACTTTGATTTATTTTTATTTAAATATATAATTTTTTTGATTTCTAAATAAGATGGTTGATTTTTTTTTTTTTACTAAATCAAGATATAAATTTTACCCTTTTTATTTAAGGATTTAGTAAATAGTTGTGATGACGTGACTCACGAATGAATTAAAATTTTAAATATAAAAACTCACAAAACTTGTATTATTCTTTAGAAAAAAATTGAAAAATATTAGTCTGATTTAGAAATTAAATTAAAAAAAAAAGTAGCAAATTTGATATGTGCACCTTTACATTAAAACTTTTAATGGTGCTTGTAACTACAACAAGACTAGTTGAGTTTTATTATTATTATTATTATTATTATTATTAAGAGATATGAAAAATCAAAACATCTTAATATTTTAATTATTAAAGATAATACTTAAAAATTTAAATACTTTTAATAAATTAACACACACAAAGATTTATTAAAAAATATTTAATCATAATTTTATGGACGTTCTAATTTTCAATTTTCTCTTATTATTATTGGGATGGGGATTGAGCTAAGCAATTATATTTAAGATATGGTGCAAGTACATCAAGCAGTCTTTATATGGTTTTAGGGTAAATCCAAAAGAGTATTATGGATTTCTGGGAACATTCTTGTTAAAAATTAATATAGTTACAATCATTTAAATAATCACATGTCATTGTACAAATGATTCTTATTGTTTAAAGGTTTACTATTAATTATATACATTTATTTATTTAATAATATATCATTATTATAAATTTATAATATTATATAATATTGTAATTTTATTATTGTTAAGATAAATTAAGAGATTTTAATTAGAATTAATCATGGTAAATTAAAGTTTTTTTTCTTATTTTATTTTATATTATATTATGCAACAGAAAATAATCTCCTCTTATTCCTTATCCTACTTTGCCTATATACCATACAACTCAAATTCGCTATCTCTTATTTCTATTAAAAAAGATTATCCCTAAATTACTTAAATGGTTTTGCAGTAAATTAACAGTTATGCAAAAAAGATGGATATGGCAGTATGGGATGGAGTGGTCCTTATCTGAGATGGAGGCCAGGAAGTAGGTCCAAGAAAATTGTTTCACATGAGAGTGGCGAGCAATTGGTAAGGTCTATGAACTTTCCCTAACAATTTCTGGCGACAAAAGGCCAAACATGGATACAGGTGTAACTCAACTCCATCTCTGCTGAACCATAAATTGAGTAGTTGAGCACAATTCATCCAGTAGGTGAAACCCACATGTTTTTGGACAATTATTGATGTCACCCCATGAAATTCATGGCCTCATTATTTGCTCCATCAGCCAAATCCCAATCCTAAACCTAAATAGGATTGACTTTTTTTTTTTATTTAAGAGTTTCTCCATGATATTTTATAAATATTTTTTAATTATATATAATAACTATAAATTTATAATTTTATATAATATTACAATTAATATTATCTTTGTTTTAAAAATTTTACCCTATGCGACATTAGTGCCAATAAAGGTTTTTTTTTTTTTTTTAATATTGGGAAATTTTTTTTTTTTTTTTAATATTGGGAAATTAGAGAAAGAGGATTATCACTATAAAGAATTAAACCGTAGTGGTGTTCATGACCAAGGTGCATCCTACCAATGCAGTCACAATTGCGAGTGCATTAGTGCCAATAAAGTTTGAATAATGTTTGAAGTTAAAATGAAATGAAAAGATTGAGATTGACTTCTTTTTATCCATATTTTAATACATATTTACTTTTCTTTTTTTTTTACAAGAATAATGGTTAAGAAATTAGTATGAATTAGTTATTAACAACTGAGATTCTTAGATCGATGAATATTTGACCCCCTCAAATGAAACGTGCGGCCATTAAATCACTTTTTGATGGAGTTTATAACAGTAATAGAGTTCAAAGCCCTGACCATCGTCTCACCCAAGCCTTAAGGCTTGAGGCAAACCATTAAACCTCAAACCCAATTTATATATTTACTCATTTAATATCATAAAAAATAATACAATATCCATGGTCTTCTTTTCAACCCCTACTTTTTTCTGTCTAAACGGCGCACTCATAAAGTTTACACTTACCACCCAGAAACTGTTTCTTCAATTTGAAAAGTCCGCACCCCCCATCGGATGATGCCAATGGCCCAATGTTGAGGTTTTTTCTTCCAAGGAATGCAGAAAAGCCTAAAACTAGTCACCCTGAAGAAGGCTTGGATCATAAAGCAAACAGGCTTTAAAACAGGTCACCCCAAGGCCATAGATCATGCAGATAAATTTGGCCCAACTTAAGGGGACTGTTTTTTGGGTCAAAACTATAATGATGAGGTGGGGTCGGCTGTTGGGTTTAATGGCTTAGGGCTCTCATAGAAAGGGGTGACCATTGACCACCGAGGGCGGCTGGCGGTGGGTGATTGTTGGAAATTCCAATTTTGACAAGACATTGGGATCTGGAATGGTATGAACACAATCCAACCTTCAATATATATGTATTAAAAAAAAAAACAAAAACAAAAACCTTCAAAATCTTCAAATTTTACAATTCACAGATTTTAATTTTTTAAGGGAGCCAATCTGGTGAAAATTCATACATTAAAATGGAAAATACAAGTAATTAACACCATACAACTAATAAATTTATTCATTAACACAACGCTCCAACATATTTTTTCATAAACACCACACACAAATTCACCGGAGCCTCTGAAGATCCACCGGCGATCATCACCAACAAACTGAAATATTAAGGATAAAGAAAGCGTAAAACACCTAGAAGGCTAAAACCCATCAAGCATCTCGTCTAGAGCAACCATCTATATACCTGCCGGAAATCACCACCACGACCTATTACAGACCCACCAGAAATCTTCACCGACGATTACAAATAATTAAAGACAACAAGAGGTCGAACTAAATTAAAGACCCAATACCGTGTAGATAACACTACATAATCAGCGAATCTAAATAAAGCTATACAATAGAAACTATTGTAAATCCCGCAATTCAACTTGCGTAGTTGAGTCAACTAATTCCATCTTTCCCCTTGAAAAAATAAGGGAAGATCGAAATCAGAGAACCCAAACTTTTAGTCAACGAAACCGGAACCGCCAACCACCACCGGAGAAAACTCCGGTGGCTAAAAATTAAGCCTCAGAATCCTTCTTAAATCATTCGTTGCGTCATCGGGCTTCGCTGCCACGACGCACTTCTTGGTGAAAAAGGCCGGCAAGGGCACAGAACTCGGCGGAGGGGACGTGAAGAAAGCCGACCCCGCATAAAACGCGAAGCACTTGTCTTTTGACTCAGTCAGTCGGACCTGAGTCGGCACCAACACGGGATCCGGGCCTAACCGGTTTGTAGTCCCCAGATCTGCATCAGCCTTCTTTTCTTCAACCTTTACAGGCTTTGCCTCCGGTTTACTCAGCTCCTCCCCTCGTTTCAGTATCTTGACCTGGCCCATGACTAGGTTTTTCCCCGGGAGTCCCTGGTCAACGACGGCACGCGAAGGCGGCGAGGTGTTTGGAGAACGTTTCTTCCGTCTAGGTGGGGACCTGTTGGTCCGATTAGTTGGCAGGTTTCTGGGGTGTCTCATGGCCGGAGGGGGAGATATTAGGGTTTGTTTTGAGAACGGATGCTTGAGACAATCTTCGGGATTCAGAACGACGACACCCATGATTGATTTGAATACAGAAAGACAGAAATTTCTAGAAAAATCAGAGAATTTACAGAACTTCTGAGATTCCAAGACAGAAATTTAGATGAAAAAGGAAGAACAAGTAAATTAAAGGAAGAGGAAGGCTAAATTCCTTGCAAGATTATGGTAGAGAAAAAGCAGATGAACTAATGAAAATTAAAGGGTCAGAAGGACGTGTCTTTATAGCCAAAACTAAAGCAAAGACGATTCTGTGGACACGGAGCTCGAGGAGGTTTGCTTCCACTCTCGTCAAGTCCGTGTGTTCCCTGTCATATTAAACCTCCCTTTTTCCCTGTTCCACTTTCCTTTTCTTAATTTGTGAAAATATTTTTTTTATAAATTTCGAAAACTCTAGAAGAAGAAAAAAAAGTGTATGTAAATCATTTAAAATTGGTTCAATTGGTAAGAAATAAAGGATATACATGAATTATATTTGACAAAGTATGCATAAGCTTTCCTTTTTCTATTGTTCATAAATTTCTTTTTATTGTTGTTTAGGTATTAATAATCAATTATATTCACTTATTTTTTTATAAATATATCAATTATTTTTATTTTATAATCAATTATATTACATATAAACTTAGGTAATAAAAAATTTCCTAAATAAGCCAAATCATATTTTGTTCAATTTCTACAATTTTTTTTTTGTTTGGGAGAGGACATACCAAATATGCCCTAAATGTCAGAAAGAAATAAACAAAGTATGCATGTTTATAATATAGAAGAGTAGATATTATTCATGGTAAATTTAGTTTTTTTTTTAAGTTAATAAAATAATTTATTTTTATTGTAAATTATTAGAAGGAATTTTGCCCAAATAAAAAAGGAGGATATTTTGGCGAGTGGCCGTTACGCAAAACTAATGCCGCGTGGAAAAATAGTAGTTGGGGGGAAAAGAAGGCCACCAAAACCTCGGTTGTGAAGACTGCGTGTGTGACGTGGTTGAGAAAATGAGCGGTGAGATAATTATCCACCACCTTCCCCCTTCCACCTTGTACGTTCGCTTTAATTACATTAATGCCATTCTGTTTAGCCCCGTGGATGGATGCCCTTCATCTCCCATTCTCACCGGCAATAACCGGTCTAACATGTATCAACTAATCAAACCCTCAACTCTTAGGGATTAGATCTTTAAACTCAATGGTTCGACTCTAATTCTTAAATACTTGGGTAAAGTGATCAAAGTTTCAAACTTTATCATCGTCGTGAATTCCATTAAAAAGTGACATTACGCGCCTCATTTGAGGGGGTGAAATGTTCACCCGATTTAGGGATCGAATCTCCAGTTACTAACAACTAATTCATACTAACTTCCTAACCATTACCCTTGTAAAAAAAAAAAAAAATCCTCAACTCTTAGAATAATTTTTAGTATAATATAATTAATGAATTGATTTTAAATGTTATTACTACATTGTATTAAAATTTGTAATCATCTAAATTAAAAAGAACCAATAAAAATCTAATTAGATTAATATCTACTAATTTAAAACATTAATTTATGATCAAAGTCAAGAACTCTCTTCTCTTTGCAATGCTAAGCAATTAATTTTTTATGTAAAAAAAAAATTTACTTTGAAAATTGACTTTTTTTTTTTTAACGTATTTTGCAAGGGCAGGTTTTAAACCCTGTCGGAGGAGGGGAATGCACCGTGGCTATGCCACTAGGCCTTAAGGGCCAGTGCGCTTGAAAAATGAACTTGTTTAGATAAAAAAAAGGAAAAATATAATAAATAGCTATCAAATTTTTTTTATCAAATTAAAATTAATTACATATATTAATTAAATATAAAAATAAAAAAATAAGATCCATAAAATTTAAATAAGTTATCCATGTTCAAAAAAAAAAAATTAAATAAGTTATCCATAAAAAATAAATAATCTAAATTTAAGATCCATAACACCGAACCAAAACGAACTGTTTAAATAAATACCAAATTAAAGTACCAAAAAATCCATAAATTCATTAGAGTATTCCCAATCCAAGAAAACTTAACAGCGTGAAACGGGCAGCGAATTTGACGGTTGCTTTTGAGTTTGACAACACGTCTTCAAATCGGTGGTTCACTGTCGGCCCCCCCCGGCGGCCAAAAAAAAAAAGGGACAAAAAAAAATCAAAGGTGCTTTTGGTCAAATGAAACGGCCAACCAGATCACATTTATTGATTATAAATTGAATATATAATAAACCAGCAAGCCGCACACTCCGCACGTGAAAAAAGGGTGGGTCGGTAATTTAAAGGAACCTGAGTGGCGAATATCTTTGGGAGGAAAGAACGTGGGTCCTTCCTCGAAGACAGCTGGAGCTGAGGAGCATACGAACACGTGTCTCCCGATGAGTTGACGACGTAGACATCTAAAAAGACGTGTGCGCATTTTGGTAATCGGCATCACTAGGCCTGATTTTATTTTAGAGCAATGCTAGGGGCACTCGCTTTTCGCACTCTCCGGTGAACACTTTCTGTTTTATTGGACCACGTTATCTTGGTTCCCGAGAAGTTGCGCTGAAAGCTTTAAAGAAGCTTACGTGGCCCAATGAAAGGGGAAGTGTTTGCCGGAGAGTGCGAAAAGCGAGTGCCCCTAGTATTGCTCTTTATTTTATTTTATTTGTTTGTAAGTACCCGCCTATCGCTTTATGCCTTTACTTTAAATAAATTTATGTATAATCATACAAGAAAAAAGCACTCATAAAAAATTAAAGTCTCCTCTAAATTAAAATGTGATGAATAATTGTAATAAAGGGATTTTAATAAAATTAGTGAATTAATATGTAAAAAATGTTTATTAAAAGTTTTTGTATAATTTTATGATTAGTTTTAATATTATTGATATTTAAAATGTTAAAAAAATTATAAATAATCAATTAATTTGAATAAAAAAATTTT